GGCCAGTGCGATGTGGGCAAGCTCTGAGTCAACGCTCAATTGCAATACTCCAGGGCTCTTGCTCTTGAGCATCTTAGTACGCTGTATCAGCCTGCTCATTGATTTAGCAATCAAGCGTTTGTTCAAGAGTTTTCACCGCTTCCTCGCCTTATCAACTCCGGCCACGCCTTTGCAGAAAATGGAGGAGACTGGTCCACCCGGTGGCTGCAGGTCTGGGGATACTTCTGAAAATGCTCTGATGCCGCTACAAGGCCTGCGGGTGAGTTGTGGATCAGAGGCTTAACTCGCGAGTTCCTTCGCTCTGCTTAGACCACTTGCAAGTGTGCACGTGTGTCGCTCATACTACTCACTTCAGACCAATGCTGACCACTCTTTCTGGAGAGCCGTACGTCCACCTGTCGTTTAACGTTAAACAGTACTCTTGCCCCCCTTGCATGTGCTTGCAGGTGTTGTACGCGCCTACAAACCTGACTTTCTTTGGCGCAAGTTTGAGGGAGGAGTCCAGCAATCAAGTGGCGGCGGCTGCTTCCAAGAAGCGGCAGCGCTAAGCGCATCTAAGAGGCGGGGAAGCAGCAGCGCATGCTCGCAGGTGACCAGCTGGTAAGCAGGTCTTAAGGGCTTGATGCTGTGAGCGTTTAGAACTCATTGTGCAGGTTTGAGCGCTGGCCCAAGGTATGCAACGAATCCTGACTTGCTATCTGGACAGCATATACAGGAGAGGCACGAGCTTTTGCATCTAACTAATCCACAGGTGGAATGAGTGGAGACGCACTGGTGTGAGGACCCGTTGATTGACAAATCACACCGCCCCGATCAGCTCGCTTGCACACAACACTCCTGATTTTGCTCTCAGCTAGCCATGTGTGAACGCCGCCCTTGCTCTTGATCAGCTCGAGGCTCCATTCCGGATCGATCAGCGAAACTCCAGCTGCCAATCTGGACAGCAGACAGGAAGCCTTGATTAACGCGCTCTCCAGTGTCTGCCGCCTCCATATGCTCCTGGAGTGAAGGCTCAGCACTTGCACACACTTCTAACCATGCCTGTCCACTCTCGCAGGTGGAGGGGACTTGTGAAGAGGGAATCCTTCCAGGGCGCTCCGTTTCGCTGGAAAGCGAGGTTATGCATAAACGAAGCCGCAGAGCCTGGGGTTGTGCGCGCCATCGTAGAAGAGGTGAGATGGTGCCAAACATTTGCGTGCCCAGAGTAGACAGGAGAGACGGGTCACTTGTTTGACCATCACCAGGGTCACGTTTGTTGGGCAGAAAGAAGGGATCTTGTGACAGCCACGTATTTTTATCGGCCACCCGCGTCGGGTTAGTTGGCGGACAGGATAGGCTGAAGAGAAAGCGCGACTGCTCCTTACCATCAATTTCCTTTTGAACGTGTTGGCAGACAGAGAGACAGGACAGACAACAAAGGCACGTGTGTCTCTCCTGTCGCCGTTTATGACCCCCAGCTCTTCCTCTGCAGGTGGTTGGCGGTTCTGCAGAGGAGGGAGCCCTTTGCTTTGCCTTGTGCAAGCGCGTGTGTGGAGAACCGCGTGGACGCGGTGCAGAGCGGCGGGGCCAGCGATGCAGAGTCGAGCGCGGACACTTTGTGTGATTCGGGCCTTATGCCCATTGGGGTAAGAGTCCCGCACTCGCTACCTGCCACCGCAATGTTTTTGCTCATTGTGGAGCTTCAACATATTGGTTGATGTACACGTTCCTTGTATGACAAAGCCTTTTTGGACGTGTACGTTGATCAGCATGAAGTCTCAGGGTGGTGTACATTCGTTGTGATTCAATTACGATCACGCTTGTTGTTGACTTTTGAAAGCGGATTTAACATATTGGTTGATGTACATTGTTTTCTCGAGGGAACGCCCCATCTGCAAAGCTTCTGATTAGCATTGATTGTGCTCACTTCGTGATCGTCCACGAGATTAGTCTCATGAGGATCATTGTCTGTTAGCTTGCAGCAATTGTACAGCCTGCTTCATTGCTGAAGGTTGTGCAGCTTGTCATTTCGTGTATAACCGTTATTATCTGTTTTACTACCTGCCCTGAAGGCATGTTTTTCTTCAAGAAGGCATGCCCAACTCTCTAATGACGACTCTTTTCCTTCCAGGTGGCGGCGGACCGTTTTCGCGAGCTGGGCTACCCCGTTCTCTCGGTCGAGATCATGTGGGACCGTGAATCGGACGAGAAGAAAGTCAACCTCCCGGGCGCCTGGCAGACATCCACGCTAACCAGTGCGCGCCGTTCACAACGGCCTCCCAATCAACGTAATAGATGTGCCCTGCTCGCGGTCGAAGTGGAGCCGTAAAGTTCCATGTTATTTTGTAGGGCGTTAGTATTGGATATTGGTTGGTGTACATTCTTCCACAATCTTGGTGATTCCATGTGAATGTACACCAACCACTTCAAACCTGCGGCAATTGTTAATGTATGTACGCTTATTTCCAACACGCCCCCCTTGCTATTGCGTGCTCGAAGGCTGAAACAATCGTGATCATTGCTAAGAGCTTGGACGCGCAAACACCAAGTCCGTGCCGTGGTCCGTAGTAGAGCTTGCATGATGTGAGAGTTAAATGATCCCATATTCCATCCACTTGATTCCGAACACTCACTTAAGAACAAAAGCCAATATGTTACCCTTTGTTCCAAAGTAAGTAACCTATAATCTTCTTTTGAATAGTCTCATAATGTAAAATGAGATAATGTATGGTATGGTCTTACTACATACATATTCGCAACGAGGTCACAAGGGACAAAAGCCGTACTGCTTATCTGTTATAATTTTCTTCTTAAAAATCAATTATAATATCTACTATCTTTTTCGGTATGGCCTTACTACATACATATTTGCAACAAGGTCCCAAAAGGACAAAGTTGTAATGCTTATCTGTTATAATTTTCTTCTGGACAGAGGAAAAAAATTATAACAGATAACAGTACGAGAGTGTTTGACCCCCGGCAACTTTGCGAATATGTATGTATGTATCAAAAGGCTATCCGATTTAATTTCCCGCTTCCCCACGCCCCCTCCGGGGCCTGGGTCGGCCGGTGCGCCCCCACCCTTGGGTCGGCTGCTTACCCCTAAGCTTGTATAGTCACCCTGGCCGCTCCGCTCCGGTTCCCCCAGTCCCCCGGTTCGCACCCCGCCCTCGTCCAGGCTGGTCGCTTACCCTTAAGGTTGTAGCCGCCGGCCGCTCCGCTCCGGGCCCCGCCCCCTCCTAGGCCGGTTGCTTACCTCTAAGCTCGTGCTCGCCGCCACTCCGCTCCCGGTCCCACCCAGCTGTTTCGTATCCCTAAGTTAGTGAGGCCCAAGGGTCTGTCCCGTCTGTCATGTCTGTAGGCTCCGAAGACTGCAAATTTCCAACATAATGCAAGGGATGGGGCCGATAACTCACGAAACATATGACATATACCTGCCTGTCCCGTCTGACCTGTCTGTGGCCTTCGTAAATTACAGAATTCCGACATAATGAGTCGCTTGGGGCCGGTAAGTCGCGACGCTTGTGACATTTACCTGTCTGTCCCGTAACATTGTGAGAAAGGTAGCTCTTTGGGTCCACCTCAGGTTGTCATCACTTTCAGCACGTCAGAGCAGCAACCCACGTTGCTTGTACAAACGAAGGACATTAGCCAGGTTGATAATTAGGAGGCTGCAATTCAGTGTTTAACGGAATAGGGCCAGCTGCAATGACGCATTGTGGCATAATGCTTCAGCTTACTATCGAGTGTGCCAGCTGGTAGTGGCACGAGAAGGGGCAGCGAGGCGATAGGTGGCTGCCTCATGTCAATTTTGCCAGCTGGCAGGTGCAAAAGAAGGCGCTGCGCAGCATTCTGCAGCTCGCTTCTGAGTTGGGTTTGCAAGCTAAGATTGGCATGAGCTGGCGCAGGCGGCAATCTGTGGATGCCTGCCTTGTAGTATTCAAAAAGGCAGCTGGCGCTGGCAAGCGGTGGCGGAGGGCGGCACGCAATGGCGGCCTCCAACCACCTTGCATGCTTGCCAAGTGTCTGGAGAGGACTGTGAGTCAGCAGCCGGCTGACTTGGCAGAGGTGGCGGTGGCGCACCATGGCGTCCTGTGGCGCTGTTGTGTGGCAGCTCTTTCAAACTGCCAGATTGAGCCACAATACTTCCTCACCTTACAACCTTTCTAGAACCATCAAAAGACCCCAAAGTTGAGAGCCCCCTCCTACCTGAAAGCGCACCTGAAGAGAGTGAATCATTGGACAGCATTTTTGAAGGTAAGCTACTTCTGCTTCCTGACAAGCTTGTGTGAAGCATTGGGCAGGCTGACGAACTTTGCTTTTGCTCGTCATTTCTTTGCTGAACATGTGATCCTTTCACATCTAGCAGGACAATGGAAGCTGGTTGCAATCAGCTTATGTGCACAAGTTTGAATCTTCATGCATCTCACTCTGCCACTGTCTCCTTTTATCTGGCTCCTCAATCTGAGTAGGGCATGTGGTCGACCACTTTACACGACCTGCCATACTCTTGTTGTACATCCGATCCTCTGTCCTGTGTTACTCTGCATTGTGCCTTGGCTCGCAACAAACTGGATAGTCAAGTGCTGGGCACTGCTGCTCAGCGGAAGTGACTACTCTGAGTCGTTCCGAAAGAGTGATCACAACTGCGCCTTTGTGCAATGAAATTAGATCTGCCCTGCACCACTTGTTAGCAGAGCTTCAACATTATGCGTCCTCATGTTTTTTTTTGTATACTGAAATCAGCAGACAAGCTTGTGCTTTTCAGAGGTGTGCGATTTCCCTCAGCGGGGGCACGCAGGCACGTCCTGACCGACATCACACATGGCAAGAGCCCCAAGCACTGCGCCTACAGCAGCAGCCTAGGGTGCTTGTGCCTTGTACTGTGTTTTGTTTTTGGAGATACGTGCATCTCCCGCGGTTAAGGCTCAAGAGCAATCTGCTGCTGAGCAGAAGTGTCCGATTCCCTCTGCAGACGTCTGCAACCACATCCTGCCCGGCGTCACCCACTGGCAGAGCCCCAACTGAGATTCGAAAGCAGGCACTCATCAAGGGCGGCAGAGAAATAGCTTTGGCCGAGCATCACTGTTTTGTCAAGCCAATCAACATGCATGCTTGAGTGCCGCGCTGTGGAAGGTCGCAGATGGTGGGTGAGTTTTCAAATCCTCTCTCACTTTTACGTCGTGAGGGTGATTGTTCCAGGCTTGGGTCCAACCAAAGCGGATAGCAAAGGTTTTCTGGTCCCATGTAAAGCTGTGAATGAAGCCTTCTCCTGTTCTTCAACCTTCCAGCAATCGAGGCTGATGGTGTATGCTATGTGCTTTCATTTACCTTGAGATTTTATGCATCAACTTTTCCAAGCAACTAGGCCTGTCAAAGCCCTTGATAGGTCTGTTTGTGTTGTCACGAGCAGGTTCCCCAGCAAACAGCGCAAAGCATGCAAGTCGTACTGCTTCTCAAATGCCGGTGACGAGCCTCAATTCTCAAATGCGCAGAATTAGCAAATTAGCGCAAGCTGACTGGCATCCGCTGTCAGGCAGATCTGACGCCCGCTGTCGGGCTGACGTGTTGCTTGTTGTGGGGCTGCTTGAGGGCTGAATTGAGCGCTTGCTGTGAAGTTTATTTGCCGCACTCTGTTGGGCTAATTTGAGGCCCGCTGTTGGACTGGTTTTGGAACCGCTATTGCGGTGATTAGAGTCCGTTGTCATCTGATTTGGGGCCCGCTGTTGGGCTGGTTGCGGGGCCCGCTTTTGGGCTAATTTAGGGCCCATTGTCATTCATGAATTGGGGCCTTCTGTCGGGTTGAAGTAGGTCCCGCTATCGGGGCTGATTTTTAGCTCTTATCAGACTGATTCAATGCCGCTGCCGGGCTGATTTTGAGCCAGCTGTTGGGCTGATTGCGGCCCCGCTGTGGGGCTCATTTGAAGCTTGCTTTGGAGGTTTCGCTGTGGCTTGCTGTACCCGGCTGATCTTGGGCCTGCCATGGGGGGTGTTAAGATTTGTTGGGCTGATTTGTTGCACGTAGTTACGCTGATCCAGCGCCCGCTGTCAAGAAGCTTAGACGTCATGCACGTTTTAAAAGCTCGCACTCGCAGCTATGATGATCAAGTGCTAACTCGTCATCCCCGGCCTTGGATTGCAGATCATGGAATGTGAGCTCTGGAAGAAAGATGGTGGTTGCTTCATTTGCCTTGAACAGCATGCAAACGAGTCAAAGAGGTGCTGCAAGAGCTTCGTGTCGAAGCAAGCTTTGGAAGGCCACCGCAAGCGAACAGGGTGTGAGCCTTGGAAGCTACCTAGCGATCGTGTGCCCTCCAAGTATCGCGGCCTGGAGCCGGAAGCGGCTTGTCACTTGAAGCGTCAGAGCAACAGGGCAGCCGTGTCAAAGTACCGGACGACCCTCGATGGGGAGCGAGCCGTCCATCGTGCACGGCACATAGCCAACTACCGCCTCATGGCACGCGATGCCGTGCCCGCTCTCCCGATGCCCAAAGCACCGGTTTACGTTCGGCCGCCTATCTCGTGGCTCATTGCCGATGCTGAGATCTTTGCGCAGGATCTGAAGGAGAAGTTTGATCGGGGCGGGATCGTGCTGAGCCACGCGACATGGTCCCTGCGGTTTCATCCAGACAAGGTAGAGGTGAGTCGACTCTTTCGCTTTGGTTTCGCCTTGGATCAGAAGTGTCACTGATAGTCAGGCTGGCAAATCGTGTACATTTTCCATGAATCAGAGTACATCGCTCAATATTTCGGTCGATTGGTCAAGGTTTCGTGTACATACACTTTCATCGATCGAATGACCTTTTGCAAACAGAGGAAGAGTCGACAGCGAGATAGGGACCTGTAGCGTGGTCGACGTCATCATGAGCGTCAGCTCGCATGGAGCCCCTTTTTCACCCCAAGCCGTGCTTTTTGTTAAGGGGGTATTTGAGTCGATGGCGGGCTTGTCTTTTTGTTCTGCTTGAAGTTTTTAGATGTATAGATCAGCCTGTGCAAATTGTCAGGGGCAAGTCTTGCAAATCCCACCCCAAGCCGTGCTTTTGTTGAAGGGTATTTGAGTCGATGGCGGGGGCTTGTCAAATTGCACTGTTTGAAGATTCTTTATGTATAGAAAGCCTGTACAATTTGTCAGAAGCGAGTCTTACGAGTTCGACCCCAAGCCGTGCTTTTTGGCACCATCAGAGTCGCTGGTGCACCGCTTGAAGATTCTTTACGTAGAGAATTATCAGGCGCGAGGGTGACGAATTCGACTTGGTCCCAAGCCGTGCACTTTGTTGGGGCTCTGATGCAGGGCTTGTCAGTATGCACTGATTGAAAATTCTGGGTGTATAGAAGAGCCTGTGCAAATTGTCAGGTGCCAGTTTCGACCCCAGGCCGTGCACTTTTTTGGGGCTTTGATGCAGGCTTGTCAATTTGCATTGGTTGGAGATTCTAGATGTATAGGATAGCCTGTGCAAATTGTCAAGTAAGGCTTCGACCCCCAAGCCGTGCGCTTTTCTGAACAATATTATAGTCGATCGTGGGGGTTGTCAATTTGCACTGGTTGAAGATTCTGGATGTGTAGGACAGCCTGTGCAATTCATCAGGGCCAGGCTTCGCCCCCAAGCGGTGTGCTTTATTTTTGAGAGTGACCAAAAGTCGCGGCCGAGTTCGGCAATTTGTATACATTCTTCATCAATCAGAGTACATAACTCAACATTCTAGCTGATTAGTGTACATTTTTCTCCAATCAGTGTACATCAACGGATGTTTCGCTCGATTGGACAAGGAATCGTGTACATCTCCCCTTATCAACTGCGGCATCTTTTTCGAGTAGGGGAGGAGTGGGAGCATCTTCAGCAATTCGTGTACATTTTTAATCAATCAGAATACATAACCCAAATCTTTGATTGGTCGTGTACATTTCCCTCAAGAAGCTACGCGTTCATCGATTGGACATACCGCCGCTTTGAACGTTCGAGGTTTCATCATCGGTAGGAATGGCAAAACGTGTACATACTTCATCAATGAGTGTATGTCACTCATCAATCAGTGTACATCACCCAATATTCTAACTCGATTGGACAAGGAATCGTGTACATTATTTTTTATTGACTGCAGCATCATTTTCGAGCAGGGAAGGAGTGGGGAGCACCTCCGGCGATTTGTTCAGCACTTCACGGGCTCTTCAAACGGCCTGAACCACGAGCAATCAAAGGCTTGCTACGCTACCGAATTGTTTGCCCCGCTCAACGACGAGCGATTCAAGCCCGGTCGGACCGCTCAAAAGGCCGGTGGCATGCTGTGGAGAGCGTGGTTGTCGGTCGAATGTGCACTCATCGACGACTACTTAGAATATCTGGTCGAGTTCGACGAGTTCATAGCAAAGGCAAAGCAAGCGAGCCAAGAGCTAGAACGGGCACGTGAGAGGTGGATTCATGAGAGGCTCGAGCAAAAGTTCAAGAACTCGAAGGCATATAAGAGATGTATGAACAATCGAAGTACCGAGTAGAAGTAGCGAGACGGATGTTTGCAATGGTACCTTGTGAATTTTCTTTGCGAACGATATTCCAACCGTTTTAAATGGATGCAATCCTTGGTTATCGCCCATTGAATCGGGCTGCAATCCTCGAGATGGATCGTCATGTACTCGAATCTGCACGGTCCGCAATCGTGCGGGCATATCAAGAATTCGGATTGCTTAGTACAATTTTGGATGCTGCTGCCTTAGGTGGCATGCGAGGACTCCATAGTTTGGACATACGGCCATTTTGCTTCAAAAATACCCGTATTATACGTTTTTTGTCGCCTTCTCAAAAAACTTCAAAAATACGGCCATTTTCCAACCCTGAAGGTCGCGGCCCCTTTTTTTGTCTCAAAGCAGCCAGAAGCTCCAATTAAGAGGGATTAATGGTGCACACTTATGTGAGGATCTTATCGATTTATCGGGCACTCAAATGTTGATGTTAGTTGTTTCAATCAGGCACAAATGTTGTCAGTTTTGAAAAAGGCATGACGTACTTTTGCCGTATTTTCATTTTCGCTGTCAAAAATACTCAAAAATACTTGGTTTTTGACCCCTCTGAAAAATACCCGTATTCCGTATGTCCAAACTATGGAGGACTCACACATCCATTCAATCTAGGCCACATAACTCGTGCTCTAGTGAGATCCCTCATTGCGGAAGGCTTCAACGCCTGGTGGGACAAGAGCGGCTTGAATGGCCCGTACGGAGTGAAAGTGGACTGGAGAGTCGCATTAAACAGCGCACAACGCGCCAGACGCCGGGCTCGCCGTCTACGCTCCAAGGTTCGAGAGGTTTCGCATGAGGTCGAGAGCCCTCTCCCGACGGCTGGCAAATACCATGATGATTGCTACGAGTCTCCACGATATGCCTCTAGCGTTGCTTGGACTGATGATGTTGAGCCAATCTTGGACTTGGACATGCTTGCAAATCTAGAGAAGGCTCGCGTGGCCGAGGAATCTCCAGACAGCTCCTCCCCCAGATAATAGGATGGCTTAAAAAGCCTCATTCAATGAAAAATGTACATCCATATTCATAGTATCCAGCCATATTCATATTTCGTACGAAAACATATTAGTCATTTTGCTTTTTAGCCGGCTTCTACAGGTCATGATAACCGTTTTCACCTTTAAAAGCTGCTACGGATCTCAGCTTGGTTGATTCGATTTTGAACATCAAAATTCACATTATCTGAGGTTGGGGAATTGGCGTTGGTTAAAATTTTCTTGGCAGTATCCAGAAAACGTGAAAGATGCAAGAACTTGCTGAAAGCACACGCCATATAACCACCGTAACCAAGGGTGAAAGGCTGCTACGCACGGTCTTTGATGACGGCACTCGAAAAGAGCTCACGATCCAACAGTACATGAAGCATGTTATGCGTCTGTTTCAGAGTTTCAAAAGACAGCAAGACTTCAACAGCTTGGGTTGGATTCAAGATGCCGATGCAATCATCCGGTACTTTCAGGAGACATATTCTACCAAACTCTCCATGCAAGCCACCGGAATAACCCCCCTTTAGTTGTTGTGCGTAAAGCATTTCCGAATGACAAACAACTCTATGATGCTTACTATAAGCGGTACACTGAGGTTCGAAAGCTCATGGATGAGTCGAAGCCCCCTTCCCAGCAGTTGACGGAGCGCGAAGCATCAAACTGGAAAACTTTGGATCAAATTAATGAGCGAAGAGTGGAGCTGCAGCGGCACGTCAATCGCAAGTTCCTGCACAAAAAGCCCAAAGAGTTGACCACCGAGGACAAGATCACACTCATCCGCCATTTGATCTTGTGCCTCTTTACGTATCAGCCGGCTGTCCGCAACGACTACTCAGAGTGCCAGATCATCCGCTTCGAGGATATCGGAACCCCTGAGGCACGCGAGCTCATATCCGGCTCCAGAAACTACATGTTGGAATTTGAAAGGGACCAATTTCGTCTTGTTCTGAAAGATTTCAAGACAGTGAAGCACCACGGCCCGACAACCATTGACATGTCGACGAGAAGTAACAACGTGATTGCTGAAAGCCTCCAGGTGTTTCCACGAAAGTATCTCCTGTCTCGCATGAGGGCACCGGATAAGCCAATGAGCAGAAATTATCTCACCAAATTCTGCTCGACCGGGCTCTTTAAAGACGCGGCTGTTGGCAGTTGTCTTTTACGGAAGATTTGCGTCTCAACCGCAATGAAGGATGCCCCAAGCTTGCGAGAACGAGATGAATTGGCACAACAAATGTTGCATACCGCCTCTATTGCTCAGAGAGTGTATGAGAAAAAGTACCTCCCTGATGGATCAAAGATACGATTCTGACGAATTCGCAACCCACTGAACGTGCTCCGCAATCTGGCAGACGTTTTAAGATACTTCAATGCTCGTGAACGCATTCAAGAGCTCTGCGCTCGTGCTCATTAAGACACCTCAATACTTGTGAAGGCGACCAAAGGAAGGCTTGGTGCTTTGGGATCATCCAAAGTGTCCAAAGAGGACAGCTGAGGCATATCGAATCCAGCATCCATCATCGTTGAGTTGTGGTTTTATGAAGCTTCTTTGTTCGACCGGTAACTACTAACTACCCGCAACTACCTTCTTGAGTTTGCAAAGGGCAGCTATAGGCTTCATCTCAACTCGTACAAGACCGATAAAACGCATGGGCCTCAAATTCTCGACATACCAGTCCGACTAGGCAACGCAATTGCAGAAAGTCTGTCCATCTTCCCTCGAAAGTACCTTCTAAGCCGAATGAGAACACCAGATGCCCCAATGGGATCGGGATATCTGACCAAGTTTTTGGCGGCCATCTATCCTGATTCAAACATGGGCTCGTGCCTCCTTCGGAAGATCACCGTCAGCAATGCAATGCGAGATGCTCCGAGCCTTTCTGAAAGAGACCAGCTCGCAAAATCCATGTTACACACAGCATTGATAGCGATGCGTCACTATGAGCTCAAGTACAGACCTGATGGAAGTCGCATCCAATTTTGAACGGTTCAAAACGTCCACTGGCCGTTCGTCAGCTCGTTTAGGATACTTCGATACCTGCTGGGAACGAGCCCCAAGGAAGGGTTGGTGCTTTGTGATCATCCAACGTGTTTAAAGAGGCCATTCGAGGCATGTCAAGTCCAGCATCGATCAGTCGTTGAGTTGTGGTCTTATGAAGCTTCTTTGTTCGACCACTCACGTACCTCTGATACGCCTTGCGTAGTAAAATTGCTTCGTGATGTCGATAATAATATGCCCTCATGTTAGCATTGTGCTGCTTCGGATGAGTTTTTGCGTATTCCCTGTGCTTTTGGCAAGCTTGACACGGGCATGGAACATGCATCTCAGAGATCTTGTCAGAGTCATTCGAAAGTTGTTGTGCATTTGATGGACCATCTCTAAGTCCTGCTGATATGTGAGATTATTTTTCTTGTGCCTCGACCGCGATCCAGATTTGAGGTGCGTTCAATTGACGCATTTTTTTTTCTTGCGTTACACAAGAACATGTCTGCACCAGGCATGGAACAAGCCACCGCCCCAGGACCTCAGGCCGCCAAGGACTCCAGGGCCCTAGGGCTCACAGCCGTTGCAGACGAGCTTCCATGGCTGTCAAACGTTGGGCTCTACGCAATTCCCGTGCGCCTGTTTTGGAATGCGGAAAAGGGTACAAAAGAAGTCGACTTTCCAAAAAACTACGCACATATCACAACGCCAGGGTTGTGGGAGCAATCCATCAACGAGGCAATGCGACAAAGGATGGACGCCAATGGAGTGGCAATTCTGACAGGCCCCAGCCAATTGATTGTTATTGACGTCGACGTGTCCAGCAGTGATACAAAGAAACCAGACATTGAACTCTGGGACCGTCTTGTCGAGAAACACGGCGAGCCTCAAACACTCAAAGCACAATCAGGTTCCGGCGGACTTCATTTCTACTTTAAGGCCAATTCGCCGGGCCTTAAGTGCACCCGTAACTTCTCAGGCATCAAGGTCGACAAATCCGTTTATGGTGTTGATGGTCGGGCTCGTGGAGGGGTCGTTTTTGCCTACCCTGCACGCTACGTCAAAGATCAGGGCAAACTTGCGACATACAAATGGATCAATGGGCCTCCGAGCTTTGAGGCATGCCAAGAAATGCCTCCTTGGCTCACAAGTTTTTTGAATGACCACGTTCAGCAGACTGCAGCGGACGAGATCGACACAGGAAAGTTTGTCGAGAGGCACGGATCACGTGAGAATGACTCAATTGCCACACCATCTGCGATGGATCACGCAACATCGATGCCATCAGCACCTCTCGAAGATGTGCAAAATACGGTGGCCTTGCCCGGATTGGAACGAGCGCTCGAAGAGATAAAGAAAATGCTCCATGCAAAGGTTCCAAACGACGCCAGCACCTTCAGTGGAGTCGGAGAGAGGACTCCAAATGGGTGGCGAATCTTAAAGTTCAAGACCAACGGCATCCGCACATGCTTAAATGGCCACCAACACGTCTCGAACCAGTTCAGCATCTTGAGCAACGGAGGCGTCCTTGTGTACCGCTGTCTGAGTTTGGAGTGCATTGATCAACCAAAGCCTCTACTCGGCACATACTTTTGGCCGGAGTGCTTGCCTCTGAGGGCCGATGGAAAATTCATCGAGGACTGCGAACGCTATCTGCTCCCCTTCAAGCCATCGGAGGACAAAGACCGCAATAAGAAGAAGAGCAAAGAAGACGACGATCGCACAAAAAAGGCAAAAACGGATCTGCAAGATCTCATATTGCGCATGATGAATCATTATTTTGCGGTGGTTGTTGGCACGACGAGGGCGGTCTACTTCGAGACCATCTACTCGCGAGACGCGAGCGGTCGCATCCAGCAGGAGGAGACGATCAACCGGTCCGGGCACAACTTTCTTGAGAGGTGTAAGAATTTACAGCTCTGCAGTCTGCCGGGCAGATCAAAGGAGGTGGCCAAGTTTTGGGAGAGCAGTCCAAAACGCCGCGAATACGATCAGATCGTGTTTGAACCAGAGCTCTCCAAGGTCTCTCCTCGGCAGTTCAACCTGTTCTGCGGGCTGAATTTCCAACCAATCGAGCGCAAGTTGACAGCTGCCAAGCTCGTCGAGTGCGAAGGCAAGATGCCAAAGCTCATCTGGCACATTCGCAATGTTTTAAGTGATCGTTCCCCCGAACGCTTTGAATACAACATAAAATGGATGGCGCATGGAGTTCAGAGGCCTTGGCGGAAAATCCAGGTCGCTCTCGTGTTCCGTGGCCCGCAAGGGTGCGGCAAGTCGACATTGTGGGATTTCTACGGCCTCAAGATACTTGGGAGCAAACTTTACTTGTATTGTAATGAGATTGAAAAGGTCATTGGACGGTTCAATTCTCTTGGAGTCAACAAGCTCCTAATCGTCCTCGACGAAGCTGGGAATTGGGGTGGGGCATACAAGATGAACGATCGAATAAAGTCTGCAATCACGCAAGAGACGACGTGCCTCGAACATAAGGGGCAAGACGCGATCACCGTGCAAGACAGGAGCAATATCGTGTTCACGACAAATCATTCGTGGCCGGTGAAAAGAGAAGCCGATGATCGGCGATACTCTTGCCAAGAGTGCTCTGGAGTAAAAGTGGGAGACAAACACTACTTCGACGAGCTTCTGGCGGAGCTGGAAGATCCGCAGACCGCCTTTCATTTCCATCAATACCTGTCGTCGATCGACATTGTTGTCAATTGGGATCCCAAAAAGATGCCAGTAACGACTTGGGGAGAGGAACTGAGGGACCATTTGTAACGATTACGA